CCCCCCCCCCCCCCCCCGCGCACATAGGGAGCCTCCAGGGTTTGCTGTCTTCACTCCCACAGCAGTCTCGAAGACGGGGCTGGGTGTGGAGTGAGAGGTGGGGACTGGAGATCAGCAATTACCAGATGAAACATGAATCCATTTCCAGTGGGGATGAGGGGCCGTGACAAAATGCCATCAGGAGATGAAATGAGGAAGGAGGTGGTCCTTGCGGCTGAGGCCCAGAGGTAGAGCACTTACCTGGCACATGTGAGGTCTGGGGTGCAACCCAGATAGACAAGACACACACACAGAGGAAACAGGCATCCTTTAATGCCTCACAGTAGCTGGGAGGGCAAGGGGAAGTCAGGGCCTCCTGCCCAGCCTCCAGAGGGAGGCTCCACCCTGCTTGTGTCCCCTCCCCACTGCTGTCACAGCTTATGGAAGAAATGGTTGAGCTGGGGTCAGGGTGCACACCTACCTGCCTGTAACCCCCAGCATTCTGAGCACGTACTGGAGCCCAGCCTGAACAACTGATTTAGTGAGACCGTCTCAAAACAAGAAAAAACATGGCTGGAGATGGATGTGTGAAGACCTTGGACTCAATTCCCAGCACTGGGCAGTGGGGGCCTGTGCATCATACTGCACAATTAGGATCTCCCCCTCCCCCCATTTAAAATTCCTGTACCAGGGATCAAACTTGGGACTTTGCGCTGAGCTAAATCCCTGGCCCTTCCTATTTATATTTTTGAGACAGTCTCACTCTGTAGCCCAAGCTGCCTTGGAGATGGTGATCCTCCTGTCTCAGCTTCCTGAGTGCTGAGGTTACAGGTGTGCACCATCACGCCTGGCTAATTTTACTTTTTGTGGTGCTGAGGATCAAACAGCTCTGTGTACGCTAGGACAATGCTCTACTGGCAAGCCACACCCAGCAGCCCCCACCTTCTGGGACCCCCCCCACACTTTACCCATGTAGTCCGTCATCTTGACCCCCTTCCTGTTTCTGTCGTCCCGGGAATCAAACTCAGGATCTTGAGATTGCCAGGCAGGCGCAGTGCCACTGAGCTACATCCCCAGCCCCCAAACCCCTTCCTAAAGTAACTGTTCTGAGACCCAAACGAGCTCCTTTCCTGGCCCTTTGCTGTGTCTGCCCCGCACTAGTCATCTCCCCAGGCCACCTCTCTCATATAAAGCTGGCCAAGCAGGCAAACAGCCACTCCAGTAACAGGGTCTGAACAGAACTGACCTTGAAGAGGCGGAGCTCATGCTCATTCCTAGTTCTGAAGGCTGAGCAGCCTGTGGTCATTTCCTGGGACTGCTAGGGTCCCAGGTGAGTGGCTGAGCACAACAGAAATTGTCAGTTTGAGTCTGAAATCAAGGTGTCGGCAGGGTTGGTTCCTTCTTAGGGGTGCAGAGGGAGGATCTGCCCTGTGCCATCCTCCTGGCTTCTGGTGGCAGTTGTGGGGAGTCCTCCCACACATGGTGACTTTGTCTTATCTTGATGACATTTCCAAATACTTTCCAAGTAAGGTCACATACATGGGTAATGGGTTTGGACCTCCATTTCTTTTCTCCAACCAATAACCAAGGCTGTAGGGAAGCTGAGGATTCTAGGGGAAACATCCGGGCAGGGGTGTAGCTCAGTGGTAGAACCCTTGCCTAGCATTTGAGAGGCCCTAGCTTCCACCTCCAGCACCAAAACAAACAGAAAAAAAAAATAAAGGACAACGGAGGGATTTAAGGAGTCAGGTGATGGGCTATACTTCTTTTGACCACTGCTTGCAGGTATCATATAGAAGGCGTTGTACAGGGGCGAGGGTGGCAGCTGGCATGATTCTCTACAGAGCAGCAGCTGCATTGGCTTGGTTGCTGTTAGCCATTGAAGTAAACCTGTCTGCTCAGTCACAAATGTTTACTGAGCACCTACATTGTGCCAGGTGCTATTCTAAATAATGAAGGATGTAACTGCCAACAGAACCTGCCCGGTTTGGAGCTGTGACCACCCCTCTCTCCCCCAGGGGTCTGTGAGGTCAGCTGCCAGAACCGCGCCGGCTACTCAGCACTCATGCTGGCTGCACTCACGTCTGTGGGGCTGGAGGACATGGTTGTGGTCCGGAGGCTCTTTAGAATGGGTGATGTCAACGCGAAGGCCAGCCAGGTGCACACTCGCCCCACTTGGCCTCAGTCTGAGGGGATTGTTGCCACCTGGGAGCCCACCCTAGCCAGCCTTCTCCCCCGTTCCCCAGACTGGACAAACGGCCCTCATGCTGGCCATCAGCCACGGCCGGGAGGATATGGTAATGGCCCTGCTGGAGTGCGGGGCTGATGTGAATGCACAAGACTCGGAAGGGGCCACGGCGCTCATGTGTGCCAGCGAGTATGGACGCCTGGACACCGTCCGGTTGCTGCTGGCCCAGCCAGGCTGTGACCCTGCCATCCTGGACAATGTGAGCCAGGACCCTGGGGCTGGTGTAGGGGAGGGGGTGCCCATGCTGTTCAGAGACCTGATGCCTGCCATTCCTCAGGAGGGCACCAGTGCCCTGGCCATCGCCTTAGAGGCGGAGCAGGACGAAGTGGCCGGTCTGCTGCATGCCCACCTGAGCTCCAACCAGCCTGGTTCCCAGGTGAGTGCGGCTCCAAAAAACAGCCTTCCCAGCTACCAGCCAAATTTAGGGAAGGCACGAAGGACACCCCAGGCCTCCCTTCCTGGGAAACCCCAGAGGAGGGGAACCTGACCATTCTCCCATATGGCTAGGATTGGATTTTAACCTGAAGATTGCCTGTGAGGCAGGCACACCTCCAGGCCAAGAGGCCCTAAGTGGAGAAATAACCTGGCTTTGATGCAAGGAGGAATGTCAGCATGCATCAAAGTTTGCCAGCCGCATGGAGGGCAGAATAAACCTGAAGGGTAGAGCCTTATTCACAGACCAAAAGTAACAATGTTCTCAGCACTTTAAAAGTATCTAGCCAGGCATGGTGGCATATACCTATAATGCCAGCACTTGAGAGGCTGAGGCAGGAAGATGGCCAGGCTGGGCTACATAAGAGACCCTGTGTCAACAACATAAAAAAATACCCAACCCCCCTGACCCATCCTGTACTCACCCAGCCTCCAGAGATGTGGGAATGGTCAAGCACATCTTCATGCAGGGGCAGAGCCGTGATTCAAACCAGACAGCCTGGTTCCATGTAAAGGGTGACCTTCTTTGGGGGTGGTAGGATGATTGAACCCCCCCAGCCTGAAACCTCCATCAGGACCTCTTCCCTCCTCCTTCTAGAGCCAGTCACCCTCAGACTCTCCTGCAGCCACACCCGGTGAAGGAGGGTGCAGTGACATCAGACAGGACCCCCAGCCTCAGTGAACTGCTGTGCACACCTGAGCAGGACTCAGGGAGGATCCTTTCCTCCCCACCTCACCCCCTGGATCACACATCACACACCCATCCACTTTCTCAAACTTTTTTCCTAATAAAACACTGCTATTCAGCTTGCACTGTCTGGGGGCAGTGTGTGTTTGTGTCTGTGGTGCGATATCTACGGTTTCTCTTGCTGGGGAAAAATGGTATTTAAGTTACCCAGAATACAGAAGGCCTGTGACCACCTGGGAACCCCGTAAAGCACAGGGCCAAGAGAAACTCTAAAGGACTCAGAGGACCGCAGTTTACACACAATAAAAACGTTTTATTTTGAGTCGCAGGTTCATGCTGTGGGCCAGGTGATTGATATCCAGGACCCTGTAAACAGACCCAAGGCGAGATGCAGACAGCTCCCCCTAGCAACTAGCAATTCCTCTTCCCTCCTACCAGTCAGCTGATCCTTTCACCCCAGAGCTTAGCTAAAAGTAGATAGGGGATTCCATCTCCATACTCACCAGCAGCTGAATTCAGCGTAACCTCCGGGCTTCCCGCTCTGATTCTAACAGGGTGAGCACGTCGCCCTCGCGCACGGGGCCTTTCACGTTGCGGATGATGGAGCGGCTCGTGTCGTCCATGAATTCCACGCGCACCTACGGGCCGCAGGGAGGACGGAGAGTCAGGGTGGGCCGCGGATGGTTCCCACTTTTCACTCCGTGAGGACCATCTATGGATTCAGATTGGGCGAGAAAGAGCTCCGGAATACAGGGAACGTCGGTTCTCAGATCTCGCTGGAAGGATCTAGGGCACAAGAGCGGCCTTCATCAGGACGAAAACCCCGGGAAATTGGGAAATCGTCGCGGGTCCCCACCATTACCTGTGTGCACTGTCCCTGCGAGCCGGTCCTGCCTAGCACTTTGGTGACCTGGTGGAAAGAGGCTGAAGTCAGACCTGGACCGCCCGGAACTTTTCCACCCTCTCGCTCCTTTCCCCGATTCCCAAATTCCGGCCTCTACTCACCCTAGCAAGCTTAATAGGCTGCACGCGACTCGTGTCCATAATGGCGGCCGGCAGCGGTCCGGCTGAGAGGAGTCACGTGGTGCGAGGGAACACTTTATAGGATGCCGTGGCCCCGCCCACTTTAGCTCTCGCGAGATCTCGTCTCACTCTTCCCAGAAGCCTCCGCGATAGCGATGTCGCTGGCGCCCTTCAGTATTTACGGAAGATGGCGTCCGCTACTCGCGTTGTCCAGAAGCTGCGGAACTGGGCTTCCGGGGTACTCGAAGAGGACTAGGTCACGCTGGGAGGGACGTGGGTTCTGTGTCCCCGCGACCCGTTCCCGCCACTCACCTCCTTCTCTCTCATCCCATGGGTTCCCGGGATGCCCCAATTTGTGATCCCTTTAGCCAGGGACTCGCTTGCCCACGCTTAGCCATTGGCATTATCTTGGTCCTGGGATCTCCGTAGCCCCCGACCTTAGCTTTGGATCTTGTGGCCCTAGCTTTCCTTTTCACCCTCAGGGTGTATAGTTCTGTCCTGATTGTTCATGCCCTTCCTTTCCTTCGTTTGTCCCCTCGGCCCTTCTCCCGGGCGCCCGGCAGGCTGACCTCCCCTGTCCTCTTCCCACAGCAAGATCTGCAGGCGAAGCTGCAGCTGCGCTACCAGGAGATCGCCAAGCGGTGAGCAGGCCCCGCTCGCTGCCCAGCCTACAATCCGGTCTTTCACTGACCAGAAACAAAATCTGCATTTCTTCAGACCCCCGGGTCCCTGAGCAGAGATCCTGTCCCCAGCCACCTGCCGTGCTGTGCGGGCAGAAATTTGCCTTTAACCTTGCTGGACTCCACGGAGCCCGCTCCTCGTGCAACAGCCAAGCTGTACATTGTGGCTGGATTGCCGACTAGGTTTCCAGTCCTCGATGTGGCCTTGCCAGTTAGTGTTTCGTCCCCAAGCCAGAGATGGCAAAATAGAGACTCTGAGAGGCCCAATTGTTTGCCTAAAGTCACCTGGAAACTAGAAAGTGACATCTGGAGGTTGAACCCTAGAAAGCATCCTGATATTAGACTCATTTATGTAGTTGGGATTGACAAGCCCTGCCATGTCCTTAGCTTTGGGGAGACAAGTAAGAACAAAACAGTTCTTATCCTCCTTCCTTTCAAGGAGCTGACATGCTAAGGAAATAAACAGGGCAAGTACCATTGTTCTGGAATGGGAACAAAATGAATAAATGTAAACTGGAGGGTGGCTATTTTTGGCAGGGATTGACATGGGAGTCATCTGAATGCTGGGAAAGAGCCTGTCAAAGAATTACAAGTGGTGGTGCACGCCTGTAATCCCAGCACTCAGGCCGAGGCAGGAGGATCATGGGGAGTTTGAAGCCAGCCTAGGCTCTGTAGTGAGTTGAAGACCAGACTGAACTGCCTAGGAAGATCCTGTCAAAAAACAAAAAATTTTGTAAAATTTTCGACTTTTTAAGGATATGGCACCCTCTAGTGGCTCATTCGGCCCTTGGTATTGGGGAACTGGTTCTTTTTGACCTTTCTGTACTAGGTTGCAGGAAGTAATGGCTGGGATTTACAGAGAGTCATCTCTGTCTCCCTAAGGTTAATTAGAATTTTCACATAATATATTGCTTGTCATATTAAAATAGTTTTTACCTCATTCATATCTGTATTTCTCATTTTTGAAATACAATGACAGGTGGGCCTAGTGGCACATATCTTTAATCTCAGCACTTAGAAGGCTGAGGCAAGACCATCACTTTGAGTTTGAGAGCAGCCTGTGCTACATAGTGAGTTCAAGGCCAGCCTGCACTACATAGCAAGACCTGTCGCAAAAAACAAAACAAAAACAATAGCAAGCACTTGATCGATGAAATAATTAAATCATGGCAAAAGAGTTACCCGACAAAAACCAGATCTTTGGGGCTGGGGATTTAGCTCAGTGGTTTTGGTGCCTGCTGCGCAAGTGCAAGGACCTGAATTCGACCCCCGGTACCAAAAAAGAAAAAGCCAGATCTTTGTATGATTTATTTCCCCTACCTTGTCTGTTCTCTCTCACCCTCTCCCTGGGAAGCTCCTCTTTTGTTTAGAGCTCAGCATTTCCTTTTTAAGGCCTCAGGCTTCTTAATTCAGCCTGAGCCATGACTGAGCTTTGTTCACCGCCTCTGGCCGCACAGAGCCTTGGCATCAGATCACAAGGTAGAAGGAAATGGGGAGGCCTGGACAGGTTCCCAGGGGAAGGTGTTCTTTGGGCCATAAGCCTCGATCCTAGCAGGGTGCTTCAAAGAGTTACTGAAATGACAGGAAACCCTGGGTTCCCAGAGCATGATGGCCTTGGGGGGAAGCCACACAAAGCAGGCACGATCTGGGGCTGCTGTCCAAATGTTTATGGACTGTAATCGCTGGATAGGTTATAGTCACAGCCTTTGGCTGTTCAGTTCCTGAGAGCACCTGCAGGTAGAGCCGAACCAACTGCCAGACCCAGCTGTGGGAAATAACTAAGTCCCGCTTCCCGAGAGCCTCACAAAGGGTCCTTCAGACCACCGAATTTTGGCTTTGGGATGACCTGGGGTGGGACAACAGGGCCTGGTCTTGTACTGCCTTTACTGTGTGCTGAGGGGCACCTCTTGCCTGCGGCTCAGCCCCGTGGCTGTACATACAGTCTTTTTGGGGTTTTTTAGTTCCTTGGGACCAAAACTCGGGACCTTGCGCTGGTGAGGCAGGTGGTAGAACCACTGAGCTAAATCCCCCGCTCCAGTGTTTTTGTTTTTAAGATATGTCCAGTGGGCTGGGGATTTGTGCCAGGTCCCGAGTTTGATCCCTGGTCCAAAAAAAAAGTTAAAAAAAAAAGATGTGTAGGACTGATCAAAATATATGGTTTGTCTTTAAATAAAAAAATTATTGTAAAAGAAATATTGGTGGAGGCTGAGACAGGAGGATCACTGTGAGTTTGAGGCCAGCCTGGGCTACATAGTGAGACCCTGTCTTACAAAAGAAAAGAAAGGAAAAATTGCTATTAGTCTCCCTCCAAATACTCCCTCTTGGATTGAACACACGTAATCAGTCTTGCCACATAGTCTGGGTTTGAACTGGCAGTCCTGCCTCAGCCTCCCAAGTGTGGGGATTGCAGGCGTGTGCCACCATGCCTGGCTAAGCATTCATTATATTTTTTGACCACATCTCATCATCCAAGTTGGCCTTGAACTCATGATCCTGGCTGAGACTCCAAGTGCTGGGACTGCAGGCATGCACCATCATGCCCAGCTTGTAGACATAGTCTTGTGATACGGGTGACAGGCTCACAGCTTGCCAGGGAGAGGGACAGAACCTGTCCCCTTGCTTCAGTGCTCATGTTCTTTTTCCTCAGGACCCAGCCTCCTCCCAAGCTCCCTGTGGGCCCCAGCCACAAGCTGTCCAGCAATTACTACTGCACACGCGATGGCCGCCGGGAAGCAGTGCCCCCCTCAGTCATCATGTCATCGCAGAAGGTGCTGGCGTCAGGCAAGACAGCAGACAGGTGAGGACCTCAGCCAAGTTCCCTCCCGCCGCTGCCCCTTCCTCCCCGGCCGGTGGAAAGTGCTGCACAGGATCCCATCGATAGGCTGGGGCGCAGCTCAGTACTGGGACGCTTGCCTGACACAAGGCCCTGGTCTCCATCCCCAGCACTGCAAGAAATGTCCCATCTATTGAGCCTGTGTGGCTGGGCGCCTTTCCTCCCATAGCTCATTCCAGCCTGGCTGCAGACATGGCTGAGTGCCCCATGAGGGATGGATGTTAGGAGTCTGGGTTCCTTCTGGATCCGGGGAGAAGCCTGGATGTTACTGTTGTCATGTTTTGTTCTTGGTGGTGCCATGCATGGAACCCAGGGCCTTATGCATGCTAGCCAAGTGCTCTACTGCTGAACTACACCCCCAGCCCTGCAATTTCATGATCTTAAAGAGAAAATTGTATAAAGCTCAAAACCGAACCCCTCAAAACCCAGTTTGATAAGCCTGGCATGGTGGCACACACCCATCATCCCCGCTACTCAGGAGGCTGAGGCAGGAGGATCACTTGAGTGTGGGAGTTCAGTGGCTGCCTGTGCAGCATGGAAAGACTCTGTCTCGGAACAAAACAAAATAGCCTACAGTGACCCAATTTGGTGCCC